CCCAGGGAAGTGGTTGAGTCCCCATCCCTGGAAGTATTTAAAAGACGTGTAGATGAGGCACTTAGGGACATGGTTTAGTGGGCATGGTGGTGTTGGGTTGACGGTTGGACTCGATGATCTTGGAGGTCTCTTCCAACCTTAATGATTCTATGATTCTATGTGGGTGGTTTTGATGCCTGCACCAGTTTTAAGAAGCTATGTCCTGAAGAACATGAAATTTAGGAAGATGAGTAATGTATGAAGTGTGAAGGCAGTGAGAGATGATCCACATATTATGTGCTTTTATTTAATAATTTATAAATAAACAACAGCTTTCCCCAAACTGCCCCTCAGCCCAGCAATTACATGTTGGCTGAGTTCTTGTTAGTGCTGTTCTTTTATAATAACAAACTGTTCCCAAAGCCTCACATACAGGGAGTTAGACAATCAAAGTACTGTGTGCGATTTTCCACTTAATTCATTCAGTTAGCTGCAATTAAAACAATACAATTCAAAGCCTTGTGTGTTTCTCTGAAAAAATACAAAACTTTAGTTGTTACTATTAATATATACAACCTACAAGAAAGAGTTAACAAAGCCCCTTTTTCTTCCCTGTTGTAGTAGAGTTATTTTCTTATCCTTTTCTGTAGATGTCCTGGCAGTCATCAATATTTCTTTCAGTCACTGTTCTTCAAAAGACACACACTTTTCATTCAACTGCACAGAAAGAAATAGAATTCAGTGGGCCAGATTCCCTCGGTGGTCAGATCCATTCACCGTGGCTGCCCAGGGAGGAATCTAGGTGAAGGTGCAGGGGTCTCATCAAGAAGAGAATTGAACCTATTTAGAAGGAAAGAGGCCACCATTTTAGCAGGCAATAATCAAATTTCTGTTCAGATTTTACCCAGATATTTTACATAAACATTTCATATTTCTGGAAAAGCAGTGTCTTCATGACTACTGATCTCTGCTCACCCACTTAATATAAACAACATACCAAGTTTTAGCATCACTACAGAGCCATTTCTTTTTGTTTTATGGGGCTTCGCTAATGAAATCTGATGACAATCTAATTAATATTATATCAGTTTTGCAACTGCAAAAGAGAACAGAGCCTGTATCTTGGCCCACAAGAAAGTGTTAAGCCATTCTAATAGAGCAGCTGTGACTGTCTCCCATACCATCAAGCTCCCTCAACACTGGGCAGATTTCCATCAGCCAAGAACACACTCAGAGTGTGCAGTGCTTGGAGAGCAGCAACATCCCTGCAGTCCGAGGATGCGGTGTGTTTGTCCAAGTCTCACAACATTTCCAGAGCTTCTATGAGCAAGGTACATCTCAACACTGTCCCGAGTAGAAGACTATACTCCTGATGTGATACTATTCGGTATGTTAATTCAGTACTTCAGCTCTAATTGTTGACAGAGGCTTTGATTCAGCCTACTCCTGCAACAAAATAATAAACCACTGATTTGGATCTGTCATTTTAATTATTATCCCACCAACATAAATGAGCATTTCATTTAAGCTCGGTTCCTCAAGAAAGAACTATTGTGTCTACTTTGATAAGACGGTATGAAATGTATCCAAACATTTATCAAACTATGCGAAATCTTATTGGAAGAATATGTTCTAATATCTTATGAATAAAGTCCCCCAAGAAAAAGTAACACCGAAATGTGTGTCAGAGCAGAGATTCCCAAAGTCTGGTCCAAAGGGAATTCACAGCTCATCTAGTGCTCACCTTTATTCTTTTATTCCAATACACAACAACACAAAAAGGAGATGGCAAAGTAAAGAACCAAAACCAGCATTTTTTTTCCAGAAAGACAGAACTCTCTGCCAAACCCAGCTCCAATTACAGAAACACTTACCAGTATTTTCCTTCCCTCCAGTTACTGCAGTTCTACAAAGATGATATGCAGTGATGAATGACAAGGAAGGCAATTCACCAGCCAAGGTACTTATTCCAAAGTTATTCTTCTTAAAAGAAACGCTAATATCATACTCCTGGCATACGACTTTACGCTTGAAGAATCTTGCAATTTGCGTATAATCTGGGTGAAAAAAAATATAGTTGAAAGACCACGTCTCCAATTGTTGATGAATGTTTCCAGCAAGTCTAACAAAAAAAAAAAAAACCAACCATCTCTGCTTGGCACATGTTTTTTCCAAATGTGTTTTCTTAGCTTAGGTCGCTATAACAGAGAAAACACTAGGCAGATAGCAACTGTATGTGTTCTGTAATAAACATACTTTTCACAAGGCATTTCAAGGCAATTGGATTACTAACAAACTTTATAAAAAGCTAAACTTATCATCAATGTATACCAAGGACCGTGTTATAACAGTAAACTATATACAGTAAGGCGCTGTCCACGAAATCAAAGAGATATTTCACATCACTTTAATATACTGACATTATCGACCGACCTATAAATACCGGTAACATTTTCATTATCATCTACACTTAACCTTCTTTATGCTTTCAAGTGCCCTTATGTCCAATACCTGAAAACATGCAATTCAGTTCCACAGAGTAACTCCAAAAATCACATCAAGGAAGTTCTTTATTGGTTTCCCTCAATGACTTCCAGATTAAATCTGCTCTTCTATAAACACAGTAAAGGTTTTCTGTAAGTGTCTAGTCTAAAAACACACGGTTGAAGTTAGTAGATCTTTTCAGTCCAGCAACAAAGGACTACGCAACTGGAACGCAGCTAATAACTGCTGATGACACACATACCAGAAGAAAAATCAGTGCCGAGACCCTTAGTATCAGAAGAATAAAACCATATTTAAGAACTAAAAGAAGATTTAAGAACTAAAAGAAGATTATGGAGCACACAAAAGGAATAGGTTTGTATATGAAAGTATCTACCTTTTACCTACTCACCTTTCAGACATTTGGCTTCATTAAACTCCCAAACATCAGTGCAAGAATGAGCATAAATGCCAGAATGCCAAGGTAAGGAACAGGCAGACATTGTAAATCTGTTCACAGTAGTGTTCCAGATGGGTGCTAAAATAAGAGTTATGAGTTACATTCATTTCAAGTAAATATAAGAGTATCTATACTCAGTTCAGGCCTTCTTTAGTCATCATCTACTTGGGAAGAAAGGAAGAAATTATAGCTTCTGTAGAACAGCAATAATTTTTCTCAGTGACAGAAAGTGAAAGTGAACAAACTCTGGCCCTTCTCCAGTTCAAGTCAAGGAGAGTTATGTGTGCGAATCCCTGAGGGTGACATCTATCCAGACTGATATGGTCGCACTTACCCACATTGTAAGCTCCCGGATCAAAAGCAGTTGGCTCAAGCCTCCGGAAGAAGAAAGGTTTCACAACAAAATAGAGGTTGGGTGCACAAACTTACCGTCTCTCCTTGTAACAAAAGCTTTCTTCCTTAGAGTTTGGTAGAAGACGTGATCTATACCAGTGACACCAGAAAAGCAATAGTAACTGACAGTGACCTTTCAGGCCCATGCATTGTGAGTAGTTTCTGTTACAAATGGGTAAGTGTTCTTCAGGCCTCCTAGAACAGGGAAACAAAGAAGAGCAAAAGAAACCCTGGAGTCCTCCAGAGTCTCAGCATTTCCATCTAGCTTTCCATTCAAGTATTTCTACCCTTGGTTATTGATACTAAACAAACCCATGGATGCACTGAATAGTAACAAATCAGCAGCAGCTAATAAAATTAAACTAAGCTAGACAACATTGCTATATTGAACAAAATAGATTCTTCCCTCAAACAGCAATGACAAGAGCAGACAGAAAAGCAGCAAATGTGCGGTGACACAGACCTTCAGCTGGGAAGGCAAATGGACAAGCCTTCACCATTGTGTAAATTCTGTGGTTAGGTCCTGGAGGTTGTGGCTTCAGCCCCAGGTCCCAATTCCTTACCACAAACCACCAGAGACCTCTCTGAATAAATGCAAGGCCAGCTCCTTCTCAGCGAGGCTCCATCAAATTTAAATATTATCCATGCAAGGGGCCTCTGGCTTAAGCATCCTGCCACAGGCATGGTTATTCAGCACAGCAATATGTAGGCACAAATGGGCTGGAGCGTGAGATAGCTGAGACCTGTTCAGCTTGACAACCGGTGAAAATCCCCTGACCACCTCCCATCCCCGCAGGCTGCCTGTCTCGTTGGACAGCCCCTTGGGAACACGACTCAGCTGCCTTCTCTGAACCAGTCACAGAGGACTGCAGATTATTTAATATTGCCTGTATTCCAGGAGCATCCTGGGGACCTTAATCATGGTCCTCAGCCATGCTCCACTAGGCACTTTCCACGCAGTAGGCGAAAGGCAGCATCTGCACGTCAGGGCTACTCTAAGGAAGGCCTGTCTGCTTGCAGAGGTACCTGCAGAGCAGCAGCTTTTGAACCACTCCACACTATGATGCCATTGCCAACATCTGAACGTAGCTAAATCAGCCTCTGTTTCTGAATACCGGGAACGAGGCACACCTGCATGAGCACCAGCGGTCAAAGCCGCCCAACCTGTTGACACTGGAGCTAGACAGATGAAAGTCACACATGGGACAGCCCCTGCTTTGCATTTTGGTGCAGATGTACACAAAGAAAGGAGTAAGGGCAGAGCTGAGACAGTGGGAAGCTTGGAGAGAAGGAGGGTGTCTTACTTGAAATCACTCTAAAGAACATTACAAATCTGTTAAATCGTTGTGGGTTACCCTGTATTTCAGAGTAAATTAGTAACTTTTCAGAGGGAGTGAAGAAACTACCACTCTACTTTTAAATAATGAAAATGCTAAAAAACCTACACTTAACAGCTCTAAAACTGCAGCAAGTCACCCACCAACACCCACTCCTCTTGTCAGCAGGCTTTTTTCAGCTTTGCCTATTATTTGTGTCAAGCCAGAGATGTTTAATGTTTGCTGCGCTTATCTGCTCAACTTTAAGGAGCCCCAAATGTGACAATATGTACCTGTGCCACTGACCTCTTTCCCCACGGTATTTTGATCTAAATAAGTAACAAACAGAGTTTCCAAAATCATTTGGATTCACTGGCTCTGAGTGCATAGCTGTAAAAAATCTGCTTTAAGATTAACATCCAATTTTATTCATGCCTGAGGCTTCACCACAGCATCTATTTTTGTAAGATTAACAGCAAGATCCCAGTTCTTCAGAAATGTAAAGAGTAACAGCCAATTGTAAAAGGAAGATGATGTTTCCTAACCTGCCCTGCTCACATCCAGGAAGGTACATTTTCCTAGCCCTTTCCATGGTGGGTGTAATTTCTATTTGCATTTTTGCACCCACAACATGCAGCATGTGTATTAGTTCTTCTGCCTCCCATTAGCTGAAATGCATTTCTGATGAAACTGTGGGTGCCAAAAAATACTAACACAAATCTCACATGTGCAAAGCATCCCCTGAAAGACAGCTTTTACTCTGGAGGAGTTAAGAAACAGCCATCTTCCTATACCTTGCACAACAGCATTTTGAATCATCTAACTTGAAAATACAAGTATAGAAAATGAGCACTTGATATTTCAGCTAATCCATTTGAAATGAATATACATGAAAACACCTTTTTGAACATGGCAATCGGAGGACAAATTGAGGGCCATTTTTAACCTAAACGGCAGAAGAAAAGTTGCTTTAAATAGTGCCTTTGGTATCTGTCAATTAGAGCTATTGCATTGCTGTCAACTTGCACTCCTCCTTTAGTTCCAGCTTTGCTCCATCCTACACAGATCCGTACAAATCAATTGTCTCTTGCAAACATGCACTAACCACTGGAAAGTGAAATTAATAAAGTGCAAGAAAAGCTGATTCGTAAAGCTGACACTCCTGTGCCCAACAACTCTGGGTTTCTCCCCTCCAGCTAGCTGTTTGAGAAAGGCAGGCAAAGTGGTAAAAGATTATCAAATTGCAACTGTCATTCCTGACAAAATGCATCTCAATGCTGGAAGGAATTTTAGGTTTTAAGCTAAAACACGACCCCAAAGGGTTCCTCAGAGCCTGTCAATATCTGTAGCTTGGATGGAAAGCTACCACTGAGCGCAGTGTGTCCAACATATAGAACCTGCCACGAAATGAAGTTCTTCATAAGAAAGCTCATCTCAGTCTTGGTTGGTAACAATAACAAGGAGACAAGATGAGACCATCAGTCTCAATTGTGAAGACAATGTTTTCCTCCCATATTATTCTGTCTGTCATGTTCCCTTCAGGTTCCAAAGGAATCCCTGTCTCATACATCATTATTTCCCACAAAGCTTGAAAGCCTTCAGGGGGGCTTTCTTCCTGCCCACTGTACCAGCCTTGATGTCTGAGTACCTTCAGAACAGTGACAGAGGCCTCTGCCAGCAATAAAGGGGAACATCTGCATACCAATTAAACTGCTGAGTGCTGAAGAGTTAAAAAAAAAAAAAAAGAGGGGGGGAAAGCCTTGAAAGTAAATCTGAGCCAAGTTCTAATTAATGCCCTAGGCCCCGATTCACCACAGCACTTAGGCATGTAGTTAACTTTAAGCATGTATTTAGTTCCATTGAAGTCAAAAGACAGCATCGAAGAGGCAAACTACATTAGCACAATTTAATACTCTTTGGGCTAATTAATCAGCCATAAAAATTAACTATGAGAACTGTATTCCTTATTTCCCTTGCTGTGACATTTCCAGATAAAAATACTTGGATGTGGCTGGAATAAGCAAAAAGCACTACCTTGTTTGGCTGTCATGGGCAGCTAAGTCCTACCGCTGTGAAGGCCAGTCCCTAAGAGCAGCTAAAGGTACTGAGCTCTCTGCACATCACAGCCTAGTGCCTGTGTCCTCTATGTGGTGACAGCATGCAGGCACAAAAGGCACAGCCCTTGTCCTGAGGAGCAGTAATCTAAGAAACGAAAAGAACTGGCAACAGATGAGCAAAGCCATCAGGCAATGGAGGGCACATCAGAGACATCTTTCCTTTTCTCTATAAAGAGGCATTTGTTCACTGCAGCGCATCAGTGTCAGCTGTGCTCGGAGGTGGCAAGGAAGGGCAGCAAACAGGGCTGGGTAAATGAGGGAAGCTGAGGGCAGATGCGAGTTTGGAGGCAGAACTGGTGAGGTTACCAAGAGAGGCACTGTCAGGCAGAGCTGGCGGGAGATGGGCAGAGCTGATGTCTAAAGGGTAGGCAGACTGGAGTCTGGTCCAGCCCCAAATGTGGACAAGGGCTAAACTCTCCTCGATTTCAGTGGAGTGGGACTGAGCCCTGTAAAAAAGAAGCCCAGAGTGCGATCTCCAAATAGCTGAATAGTCCCAGATACATCCAGACCTTTTCTCCACTTGGTAAGCACAGCATGGTGAATGGCTGCCAAACAACCAACAATGTGCAGGCTAGATTTGCCCTGAACATGGTCTTCAGGGGCCCAATACAACCAATTTTTGAGCTCCTGTTGACTTCACAAAGGTGTTTGTACAACTAACCATTCTGTAAATCAGGATGCAAGGAGAAAAGCTGGCTGATAAGGGTCTTCTTGCTAGGATTTCTGCAAAAATGAAACCACAGAAAGTTTGACAAAGTATCATTAATGCTGTACATAGACCTATAAAAGCTAGGAAATCGAGA